AACCCCATAGAGAATCTGTGGGATATTGTGAAGAGAAAGTTGAGAGACGCAAGACCCAACACTCTGGATGAGCTTAAGGCCGCTATCGAAGCATCCTGGGCCTCCATAACACCTCAGCAGTGCCACAGGCTGATGGCCTCCATGCCACGCCACATTGAAGCAGTCATTTCTGCAAAAGGATTCCCGACCAAGTATTGAGTGCATAACTGAACATAATTATTTAAAGTTTGACTTTTTTTGTATTAAAAACACTTTTCTTTTATTGGTCGGATGAAATATGCTAATTTTTTGAGATAGGAATTTTGGGGTTTTATGAGCTGAATGCCAAAATCATCAATATTAAAAACAATAAAAGGCTTGAACTACTTCAGCTGTGTGTAACAAATCTAATATATATGAACATCTAATGTTTATCAGTACATTAAAGACAATAATCAACTTCATCACAATATGCTTATATTTTTAGAAGGACCTGTACATCGATCTCCCCCTAGTTAGAATCTACCCGTGCAGGGATGGATGATGGCGCTGCGCTGCTTAACACAGGATCAGGAAGCGCCCACCTGTAGCACGGTGATTCTGCTTTCATAAACTTTTGTTTTAGAATGCAATGATAAACTTGAGAAATGTCAAACCAAAAGCAGACTGTCACAAAGGTCGCTGAGAAACTCACTTGCTTGGATGCTTAAGGCCTCCAGTACAGCGTTTTGATTGGGTTTCAGTCATGGTGAACTCCCCGACTGAGCTGCTACTTTTAGCCTCACTAGCTGATGGTGTAATGGTCTGACTGCAACACTTATCAGACATCTAAGGCTCAGAGACGGAGAAGGTTATTGACCTAGTAGATGTCTTGATGTTTGCTACAGAAGCTCGATGTTTCAACTGAAACCTGCTTCACAGAATTGGGTTTTCATTACATGATTTCAGGTTGGAAATAATGAGAAGAGAAGAAGTTTGGCTAGAAGTTTGCAACTTTGTAAATTGCAGCACAAACAAGATCAAGCTCAAAAGTTCATCTGGGGTGAAAATCTCAAGCTGCAGCAGAAACTGAGCCCTTTCCTTGCAACAATCACCTGAACTTTCAGTCATACTTCATAAAGTTAGACATTCTGCATCTTCTCCATTTATGCAAACTGGTTTGAATGTCTAGAACTATTTTCAACAACATTATTCAACAAAAACTCATTATCTCATCTCTGCTCAGCCTCGGCAAAGGATTACCTACAATTAAATAAGATCTTTAAGCAAAATAGTTTTGCAGATCTTATCATTCCTACAGTATTCTCCTTTTTGCCAGCAAAAATACAGAAAACTGAAATCTAGAATTCACGAGACGTGTTTTTCTGAGTTTTCTCTGCTGGTGGTAAACTTGGGATCTTTATTCTTTGTGGTTGCTCCAAACTATAAATAGGAGCACATCTGCCAGTTGTGTGGTCAGGCGGTGTATGCAGCCAGTCTTGAGCTGTCACCTGAAAACGATAAGAGCGTGGGCGGACTGAATAGCTGAGTGTTTCTGTGTGCATGGTGACTCTGACACTCTCATTAATACATGTTCCACCATCACAAGGACAAAGCAAGCCAAATAAGGGCAAGCATGACAATGCAACAACTCCTTCCTCGCTGTGGGCCGCCACATTTTCCCCATCACCTCCTCACCGCTGTCTTTATGCTCCTCTGGTTCTTATCCAGTCCCTTCATGTTTATTTCTCTATTTTTTCCCTAGACAGTCACTTGTATTCATTGTTTGTTCATTTTTCCATTTGCTCTTCCAATGCTTGATCCAATTTCCTTATAAAATTTTTTCTACTCTGCATCTTTCAACTTTTGTCACCTCATCCTCATTCTCCTCACTCCTCTTCCCATCAGTTTGTGCCCATCCTCTCCTCCTCCCTCTCTTCCTCGATGCTGTGGCAAGGTCCTGACTGCCACTCACAGTGGGACGGCAGCGAACAAAAGAGCGTATCCAAAGGTTAACTTTTCCCTGTTGTCACTCAACACTCGCCATGCAGCCTGTCCTGCCTCTACTGCAAGAATCTCAGGCCACTCATTGATCCCGATTTCATCGACTTGCTCATTCTCTGCAGAAATTGAACCTCTCTCCTCTTTCCTGAATGACTAATTTTGTGAATATTTGATTACCCAGAGCGTAGCTGTAAATAATAAGTGTGGTAAGTGATCTCCAATAAAAGCTGAGAAAGGAGAATCCAATCAGAGGACAATAATGCAGAGTATTCTATTAGTAAAAAATAAATAGATACTTGGCAAAGATAAAAATAGAGCAAAGCCAAAAATATCTCAAGATTGTGTGTGTTGAATTTAAGTTAAATGTTTTTAAAGAGACAATGTGTAGTTTTTGCCATTAATTCATGGAAATATCCATCAAAACGTCATTGAAAATGAATGAAATGATGCCCAATTATTGAAAAATATTGGTGGCTTTGTGACAAATAACCATAAAAATCAGGTCTAAAATACATGGGAGAGGGTCTATGTCTCTGGGCAAGGCCATATTAGATGCCATGTTTCCTTGTACGGGAGCCCATGAGGACAAAATGCATTCACTGATTTGTAACACACGGTTACAACACTTTCATCGTTCTTAAACGTTGTTGTTTTACACATTTACCTCTTCACTTGTTGCCAGTGATGAAAGAGAGTCACAAGTGCTTGTTATTTTGCTAAAGTCTGCCTCACCAGGGCTTTTTGACCCTAATGGGCATCCGTTGATAAGGTCCTACTCCAACACAAAAATATAGCTTGCTTGCAAAGATTTAGGTATCTAGTGCCGCCTATTGCCATTAAAACTACACACAATCACTTTAATGGTGTGGTTTGCTCATTTATTTAATACATTTGCAGTATTCTCCAGTGTAAATCAATGCCTTATGAGTTATTAAAAAAATTCTATGATGCTAATGTTTTGAGATGTAGAAGTTTACTGGTGCAGAGGTGGACTTAAAACAGAAGGATTGCTCAGTATTATTAACTTATTAACTGCCAATGATGACTAAAGTCATCATTTGCATTTTTTTTTTACTGTGTGGGTGACGGAACGAGTCCCCGCACCATGAGAACAAACATCCCAGCTCTAAAGCCGATCTTCATTCACGTACGTCACACGTCACGTGATCAGGAAGCAGAAAATCTGTGTTAGAAGATCGTTTTTGGGCCGCTGCTCTAAAAAAGTGAGGCGCGAACTTGAAAAGCTTCTGCCGATCACAATTCAACAACGGATTATGAAAAAACAGATATTGCTTGAAACGCACGGATTCTTCCTGATGTAAGAGGTGAGTCTACTCTTTGTTTTGGAAGTTTTGGTGTTGACATCATCCAAGCGCGAAACATTCTGTGACTCTGAAAAAAAAATTCTGATCAGGAAATGGTTGGCAGTTAATGAGTGAATGATACGCACACATCTTGCTTCTGATTGGCCAACAGAATGTGCTCAGCCAAGTCACTATCACCAACACACTCTCCAATCTCTCTCCTTGCCGCAACAATGTTTTTAAAAAGCCTTTGTGTGGGCGGGTGCAAGCCAAGATGGGCGAGCCCACGAATGCAAATTTACAGTGTGACAGATGTGTGAGGATTTTCAAATCCGAGCATTTCACTGTCTATTTTCTATCAGAATCGAATGCAGGCGATAGGTGTAGAAGACTATTTTTATGTTCAGCCTGCATGAAAAACTCAGAATGACCGATTATGAATCTGAAATGATTAAAATACTTGTTTCAGTCAACCACACCTTTTAACGTCTCTGAATTGTCATGAAAAACCACTGTTATGATAATTAGCATGAGTTAAGAATGTATATCCTCCAGCATGTGTAAAAATCCATCTTTCACTGTTGAGTTAATTAGCGTAAAGAACAAATGGCGAATGATTCGCTAGTCGCTCGGTTTAATTACTACACTTTTGCATCCCGGGCAACAGCGACAGTTAAACAAGTGAAGCTGCATTCTATTCACACACACACACACACACACACACACACACACACACACACACACACACACACACACACACACACACACACACACACACACACACACACATCTGCAACACAGTTTTCTTCTCTCTGCAGTGTGGAGCTGGAATCTCACTGGATCCTTCAGATTTACTGAAAGAACCCGAGCAAAAGCTCACTTCAAGTGAGGCTTTGAGTTTACAAAAGGTGTTGTGAATTAGGAAACTAGACATTTATGACATTGTTAAAGACCACAAGCAAATGACTACAGGATAATTATAGCAACAACAAAGAAGGAGAAGACCTATCAGCTTCCTGTCCCTATCAGCAGCTCTATGCATAGCAATGACTCATCAAGGCGTTTGTGCAACTGGGGACAAAAGTACAGACTTTGCTGGGAAGTGCAGGGGACGCAGACAGCTTCAGAAGGTCCCCGGTAACCCATTAAAGTCCTAATGATTCACTTTAATAGATGATATTTTTGCAGTCAACAGGGACATGCTGGAATATCTGAGAAACAACCTTGGCAAAATAATTTTGGATAATTATTTGTCTAATGTGTGTGGGTGTGCACCATCCAACAATATGTGGAAGCCAAAGA